GCAGAACTTACAGCACTAGATATTGCAACAGTTGAGGCCGAGTGGCTTCGTGAACTCCTGATGGATTTGCCGGTGGTTGAAAAACCAGTGCCAGCTATCCTAATGAACTGTGATAATCAAACAGTGATTATTAAAGTGAACAGTTCAAAGGACAACATGAAGTCATCTAGGCATATCAAGAGAAGACTGAAATCTGTCAGAAAGCAGAAAAACTCCGGAGTGATAGCATTGGACTATGTCCAAACGGCTAAAAATCTGGCAGATCAGTTTACCAAGGGGCTACCACGTAATGTGATAGACAGTGCATCGAGGGAAATGGGCTTGATACCGACCTAAGGTTGCATAATAGTGGAAACCTGTCCATTGTGATCGGAGATCCCGTGAATTTGGATGGCGAAACAAACTATTGTGTGGCTGAGAGAAGAGACCCTTGAAAAGGGCTCATTTTCATGATGTACTTCTCTTCTACTCTGCATGGTAGGATGGCTTATGCCTTAATGTGATCCGAGTGGCTTTTTCAAGCAGAGATGTTGACCTGCAGAACATCTCAAAAGGAACACAACTATATGAGTTCGACTGCTAGTCACAGTCTATGAGATTTGGACGATCTCTAGATACTCATGAAAGGGCCTAGAATTTGACTTATATGCTCCAAACAGAGGGGATGCAAATGGCAGCCCAGTACCAGTCAAGGGTTTGAGTGAAACCTGATCACACAAGACTGACAATTCAAGGCATAGTCCATTGTTCAGTGGTGGTCTGATGTAGCTCATTTCCTAGGTGGAAGTTCAACTTAACAGTCTCCACCAAAAGACTGATATATCAAACAGGCACAACTTTGAGAACATTTCTTATGAGCCATGAAATTTGGTGGGGATTGTTAGAATAAATGGGCTAGGCCCGATTTTTCTATTAAATCTCAAAGGCCCATAATAAATGTTAAGGATAATAATACCACCCTGGGAATTAAACGAGGAGTATCTCAACTTAAATAGGGAGTTATTGGAGGCTCCCTGTTGACCGGTTGAGGTGGGGATCGGAAAGTCACACGCGTGCGTGCTGAGCCGAGCCGGACGGGCGGGGGCATGGGCGAGGCGAGGTGTGGCGTGCAACGGATCAGAATTCAACCCCGAGATTGCCTCCGTAACGTGCAGGCGATTCAATACCCATTGATCGCGTCGTTACTGCGGCAACGGGCGGATCTCTCTCCTGCGCTATAAGGAAAGAGACAACCCGATCAGATCATCTTGGTTACTTTCTAAACTCTGGTGTTCTTCCTCCTCAGGAAAGAGGCAACCCGATCAGATCCTCTCGGTTACTTTCCAAACTCTGGTGTTCTTCCTCCTCCGCGCGCCGCCGCTGCCTGTGCTGCTACTGTTCTGCTTCCCCGGTTCTGATCGCTTGTGCGCACGAGAGATCGGAACGAGCAGGGCCTCCGGAACCACACATTCGCCTGAGATCTGCACCGGGTAGGCGGGTGATCAGGTTTTTGGGGAGTGCTTCCGCACAACTGCTCCTCGTCTTCGACTGTACGTCTGCATCACCCATGTATGCCGCTGCCGCACCTGGAGATGGCGCGCCAGGAGCTGGATCTAGCGCTGCGAACGACAACACCAACGGAGGCAGTTCTGCCTCACAATCAAGCGGAGGGACATTCACAAGATATAACCCCCTACTCTTACTGTTATTTTGGTTTTTGATATATCTGTTAGTCGCAATTTTATTGCGTTCTATGTATGATGATGATGCTTATTCTATCTTAAGCATGCTCCTGTTTATGTTTGATTTTATCAGTAGATCACCCCACATTGTTCATGCCATGATTATTGTCTTAATATTTTAAATTAAAATATGCTGATATATGACTATATTTCCAACAGTTGGTCGTCACCTTTCTGTACAAGGTGTACTGAATCCACTGGCTGGTGTTCGCGCACCTACAACCTCGGCAACAAGGGCGCATTCAACTCTGACTCCATGGGGAATAGCCTAATAGGGAATGGCCGGCCGAGACAGTCAGGAGTTCGATTGTCCTTGAGGGTTGATATTTGCTTGCAGAGTTTGCAGTTGATTTGTGTTTAGAAGGGAAGACAACCTCTTATGGTTGCGTATCATGTGGAATGATCTGCTCAATGTGGTGGTTTACTTGGGGGCAAATGTGGCCCGTGTTGCTCGTTGCCTCGCTGCATGAAGCCACACGACGGCGCTGCTCACGGGAGCTCGCGGCCATGGCGTCGCGAGAACTGCCGCCGCGCGCCGCGAATCCATCGCTCGATCGATGGGATCGATATGAATACGGGATCAGATTTTTCTAAGGACAAAATTGCCTCTTTCTTATAGGGATTACTATGTTAATATCACTTTTAATCTCCACCATCGATGTGCTTTAATTTCTGTGTCAGTTTTTATTTGAGGAGCATAGAATCACTTTCCATCATAATTGCATCCTATGTAAGGCCCCCTTTATTCAAAGGAAATTTATAGGAATTTTAGAGGATTTTATTCCTATAGAAATTTTTCCTACAAAGCCCTTTGAATTAAAGGAATGAACCCTATGAAATCCTATAAAATTCCTATGGAATGCCTCTTCCTATACTAGTTTTGGAGGAATTTTAACAAGAGGTAGAACCTCATGAAAAAAACGTTTGAGTCTTTATCTCTCCTCAAATTCCTATGTTTTTCCTGTAGTCCAATCAAACGGTCATTCCTACGTTATTCCTGTGTTTTGCAATCCTCTGTTTTACACTTACATTCCTGTCTGAATCTTATCTTATGTTTTTCCTATTCCTCCGTTTTTTTATTCATGTGATTCAAAGGGGCCCTAAGATACGAGGATAGTTGCACTGTTGCAGCATCCATCAGATAGAAACCCAAAAAAAAAAAAGGAAAAAAACAGTTAGATCATCCTTAATAAGTATTTTTTTTAGGAACAAAACCAACCACGTCCATGAAATAATTGATTAGAAAGAGACCTTTTGCAGAATTCTGAAACAGGAGCATCACCAAACTGTCCTGTTTGCACAGTGCGATCACCAATCGTGCAAGTATCTCATTCCCTCAAAAGAAAGGACAGACATTGGTTTACTAGGAACGGGCGATTCTAATAAATGAGAACATATATATCATATACACACAAATTTTCCGTTCACACCCCGTATACACAAATCAGTAAATGTCACATAAAATTATACTCCCTCCGTTTCAAAATGTTTGACACCGTTGACTTTTTAGTACGTGTTTGACCATTCGTCTTATTCAAAAAATTTAAGTAATTATTTATTCTTTTTATATCATTTGATTCATTGTTAAATATATTTTCATGTACACATTTAGTTTTACATATTTCACAAAAAAAAATTGAATATGACGAACGGTCAAACATGTGCTAAAAAGTCAACGGTGTCAAACATTTTGAAACAGAGGGAGTAGAAAAAATGAACACATACTTTCAATAGTTATACACTATCTATGAAATCTTATGTTCAAATACATTATAATTTAGTCGTAACAAAAAAGACAAAATTCTAACATATTTTTACTCTTTATTTTTTTGTTGCAACTAAAATATAATGAATTTGAATATAAGACTTTGTAGATATGTGTAATACTATTAAGATTACATGTCAGATTTTTTTTTTAGAATTTTTCGTGATATTTGATAGTTGATGTGCACGAGAAGTTTACGTATATGGGATATGTTCCTTAATAAATAGTGTATCTTTCTTAGGGTAGAAACCTGGGCTCTACATCCACATATGAATGTGTAAACATGAGTACATAAACTTCAAACTTTATAACTTAGGAACACAGGAAAACAAAAAAGGTAGAGGACTACCTAAGAAAAAACTAGAAGACTAAACTTATAATCTTAGTGCTGCGGGGAGTGGAGGGGCGGTGGTTGGAGGATGGCGTGCTTGGGCGCCCCCTGCCGATGGTGGGCTTATTCGGCCAGCGTGGCTGTTGATGAAAGTCCTCGTAGGGTTCTTGATCTGCTACTTCCGCTACATGTCCACCCGAGAGAGCCTCTTCTACCTACGCGCTACCAAGGGGGAGCTCCTAACCGCCGTCCACCTCATCGAGGCTGATCGCTGCACGCGTGAGTTCGATGTTGGCTAGGGTACCACCCGAACCGCACTCCGCTGTGCCACGGGGGGCCATGGACCATGCCGACATGGATGGCCTCGCCACGGCCATGCTCCCGCTCTCATTGTGGTCGCGGGAGATCGCTGGCCTTCTTTTCATGATGGACCGTCTCACTGGTACCACCGTCACCTCTTTGAGAAACCAAGGACCAAAATTCTCCTACGCAACTCATGGCGCTCGCTGCCTCATGCTGCTACCCACGCTGACTGCCTCGGCGTCCTTCCCTCTCGACATCGCCATCAATGGCGAGATGGCAAATCGAATGATGCACCAAGTCCCCAAAAAGCGTGCTCCTCAAACGCATAATGCCTTCTACCTAGATGCGCTCATGCTCCTCCCACATGCTGCGCTCTGTCACCGCAACCACCGCAGCATGGTGATGTTCGGCTACTGCTATAGCCCACCTCAACCCCGTCTCCAACATCATCCTCGAGCTGGACATGATCGGCACGATGACGCTAATCCACGCTGAGCGCTGCTCCTTCACCGGCCTTTTCACTAGGCTTCGCACTTTCGCTGGAGGGGATTTTGAAGAGGCGAGAAGAGAGCGGAGAAGGGGAGAGAGGAGGAAGAAAGTGCTAGCCACTAACATGTGGGGCTATATGGGTCTCACGCTGACTTAGCTTGTCACGTCAGCTAGAACCTGGTTATAATACTGCCTAGGATCTCAAATGATCTGGTTTTGTAAATTGAGAGATATGTTAGATCTGGTATTTTGGTTTAGGGATTAATTTCAGATTCGGTGACAAAATTGAGGGACCTAAAGTGAACTTAGATTATGCTGTGGGATCGTTTGTCTTGGGCCGGACCGCTTCGGGAGAGAAACCCAGGTGGGCCCCCCCTTAAACCACACGCACTCTCTCCCGAACCTCCGACCGGCTCCACCGGACCAGAGAGATTCGCCACCCGCCGGAGAAATGCCGCCACGGAGGCGAGATCGCCGGAGGCCCCGCGACCCCTCACCGGAGACCTCCCGTGCGAGCACTTCAGCCGCCTCCTCCTCGTCGGGGTCCCGCTTCCGTCCCGCCCTCCTCGCGCCTCTCCTCCTGCTGCTTCTGCTCCTCATCCTCGCCGCGCTTCACTTCTCCGGCCGTCTCTCCCTTCCCCGGCCTCAGGCGCCGCCGCAGAGGACACGCCTCTCCGTCCACGAGCGCGGGCTCGTCAGGCGCGACGTCTCCGCCAGCGAGATCCTCGCCGTAAGGGCCTAATCCGGTAACCCCCCTCTCGAGCCGATTCGTTCCAGCTGCATCACTGACGAGCTGCGTTTATCTGGACCGCCTGGTGCTGTCGCCCCTCGCTGCTGCAGGAGCACGCTACGGTCTCGGAGAACCGGTCGCGCCGCCACTTCCGCAACCCTGTCCTCGCCTATGTGACCCCCTGGTGCGTCATTTGTACATTTAGTTTAGGTGTACTCATTTTTAAATTTGCTTTCCACGATATAGGTTTTAACAGTAGTGCTTTCGAACTTGAATCATGAATGAACGAGTGAATGGTGCTCAAATGCTTATTTAGCCCGTGTTAATAGTGATTTCTCTCAGGCTATATATATACACCTAAAAGAAAAATCGACCATCAGGTTAAGATGGTGGCTCGCAGCATTCAACTAAGTAGAGAAAAATCCCCCCGAACGCAGCGCGTGACCAGGAACACTCAATCTCATCGGATAGAAGAGTTGAACGTGACATCTTGAAACCTCTATTTACTATTGAGAGCTCGAAATAGTTTGTGCAGATAATAGGAAATTAGACCTGATAAGGCATTATCTTATGAGGATATGTACGCTGTAAGCTGTTATAGAGTAAGTAGTGGAGAACGATGCTGTAGCCCAGTGGTAGGGAGCTACTAGGTGCTCTCTTTTGCTTGCGTTCGAGTCCCCTCAATGCCGGTTTTCTCACCATTTCTTCTCTCTTAATAATTGATGCTAAGTTCCTTATTAATATCGCATCCTTCAGCCTTGTTTCTCCACCTCTTTGTCTTGTCTCTGCGCTTGTCTGTTCTTTCGAAACTTTTACTCTTATACAAAGGTGTGCAATCCTTTTGCACATTCCCTAAAAAATGTAAGTGGTGACTAGGTCTGCAACATGTTTGCATGTTACTTTTTGATATTCATACCGTTTTAACCAAAAAATAGAGAGTTGCTATGGATACTTTGAAGAAGTAAAATAGTTGATTGCATCAACATAATTAATATCACATAATTCCTACTGAGGAAAGGGTGAGTGTTGGTAGCTGTGGCAAGATGTATTATCTAAATATATAAAATGTGAATGTTATGATTTTGAAAATTATACTCTTGTAATGATAACAGATCTAATTCTAGCTATAGATGAAATGGCTAGGACGGATAGTTGGCTTCAAATCATGAGTCTTTTGGATTCGTTGTTGCCATAAAGCTCAATTTCCTAATATTTTTCTACTTCACCTTTTTTTTCCCATCTATATGCATATTGTACAATCAAATGCTCTGTGATGCAGGAACTCTAAAGGTTATGACATGGCAAAGTTGTACAGCACAAAGTTTACTCACATATCACCTGTGTGGTATGACTTGAAGAGGTTTGTGGCTAACTTTTCATGGTACAATTTCCAATTATCATGTTTCCTCAAGCTTTTTGTCTAATGTGCAGCGATGGGAATAAGCTAGTTTTGGAAGGACAACATAATTTTGATGCCAAATGGGTCTCCGAACTTCAAAGTAATGGATCTTTGGTAAGCCATTTATTTTTCTTCCTTCCTCTTCCTTTATGTGGAGTTCGCTATTATTATGTTGGTGTAGGACATATTACACTACTACAGTTATAGTTACGAAGTATGATATTGGAAATTTTTATCACCTCAAGATTATGCGTAGATGTGTATAGTATAACCAAATAGTATAAATAACAATTTTCTATTGTGTACTTGGTTTATGAGTGAAAAATACATTAAAATATATTCTTTTAAAAAAATTATATGCCTGTTCTTTAGGTATTGCCTAGAGTTGTCTTAGAAGCATTCCCTGGGGTTGTACTAATGAAAAAGAAGCTAAGGGACAAAGCTATTGATCTAATTGTCAATGAATGCAGGTAAGTACCTATATTGTTGTATGTCCAGATATTGTTATAGTTATAATTGCCAGTTTGTCATCTGGCTGTCAGTGAATAGGGATAAGGGGTATGATGGTGTTGTGCTGGAATCCTGGTCAAGATGGGCTGTTTATGGAGTGTTAGATGATTCAGAGTTACGCAACAGGGTAAGTCATTTGCCATTATCAATCATCAATTTCCTTATTATTCTAATAAAGAGTTTTCCACGATCATGCTTGGCAATAGATGTTAGCATGTGCACTTGCAAAGTTTTGTTATTTACTACCTCCGTCCCAAAATGTTGCTACCTAGTACTACGAATCTGGACATGCCCCTGTCCAGATTCACAGTACCGGGTAATGTCACATCCACTCCTAGGCAGCAACATTTTGGGACAGAGTTAGTATGTGGTTTGAATTCTTTATCATGGCACGGAGTGACATGCCAAACCCAACAGGCAACATCAGCTTCTGCAGCAAACCCTAACCACTTGAAAATTGATGACAGAACCAACTCAGGGAAGATGATTTTTGTAACAAATATCTCATCGACAGTTAAAAGTCAATAATACCGAATAATAAAGAACGGACATAATACATCATAAAAGTAGCATGTGACAGGTGATTTTGGTGGACAAAATATATTGGTTTAGTGATTAAGTATAGAGTATAATAACTGTAACATTCTTACTTCCTTATAGCCCCCCCCCCCCCAACCCACACACACACACACCTCTTTTTTGAAAAATAGCATTATTGACTTGAACGGTTTTCATAATTGGCATATGACAACTAAATATGTTAGAAACTTTGATGGTACTATGTACTATGAAACTAAATATGCTTTTAGAATGCATTTTCGAAACAACAATTGGAGTACTATGTACATCTGTACAAAGTCACTCTACCATTTCAAGTTGCACTCGTACCCCATTTTCCCTACATACCCATCCAAAGTAACTGAAATTTGCATTTGCAAGATAAAACTAGCGGCTGTGCATGGGTTTTGTAGTTTTTTTAAAAAATAATTTCATCATGTACACCTCTGTGTGTGTGAAACCTATTCAGCCTGTACGCTCAGTCCATGGCAACAAGGGCAGAACAACATGGGCAAAGGCCCAATTTCCTAACATTCTGGGTTTGATTGGTTTGCTATGTGGGAAAGGCCTGATACACTAAATCCGTTAGATAGTTACATTATTAATCAGCCGATCTTCGAGTGAAAATAAAATCTTTTTTTTTTGTGTGTGTGTGTGTGTTGGGGAGGGGGGGGTGGCAAGCTTCTGCTCATTTCCCACTCTCTCTGCCACTGCCTGAGTTTAAGAATAAACCCTTCTTAAATATGGTATCAAGGGAGCACTGCAGTTATTTCTTGATTACTTTATGACAAAAAATCTTAGCAGAAGAAAGAAAAGGGCCAAAAGGGGTGTGCTGTGGTGGGGCCGTGGGGGTGACTAGTAACTGCATTCTTTTTTTGCAGCATCTCTACAATGGTTGTTTAGTTGCACCTCATATTATCCTTTTTTTTGTGGTAACACCTCATAATGTTTTTGTTGTATGCTGCAGGCACTTCAATTTGTAAAGCATCTGGGGAAAACTTTGCCTTTGACCAGTTCAAATTTAAGTACGCATCACCATTTGAAGTTAATTTATGTTGTCCCTGCTCCACGAATGAAAGAGCTCAACAATCAAGAGTTCAGACCAGAAGATCTTCTGCAGTTGGCTGACTCAGTAGATGGTTTTTCTCTTATGACATATGACTTCTCAGGGCCACAAAACCCTGGCCCCAGTGCACCTTTGAGTTGGATACAGTATTCTTTAAAAACACTTCTCGCAGCGAAGGGGTCTGCTTCTCATGGGCATTCTCACATGATATTCCTTGGCATCAATTTTTATGGGAATGACTTTCTCCTTTCTAAAGGTATATGCGTATTCCTCATCTTTCACATCCTCGGTGCTGAAACGTAGAATAACCTTTTTGTGTAGCTGTGTGAATCAGAAAATTCACCCATGTTTCGTTTACACCGTGTTGCTTGAATTTCACTTGACTACTGACACATATCATGACATCATACTGGGTAAAGTCCAATCAGGTCATGATTTACTACACCATTGGTAGCATGTGGTACATTGTTTAATTACTCGATTTATCATGTGATTGATGCACACTTGGAATTTATCTCGAACCTGCATTTCAGACTATATATTTCTCAGGAATGTTTGTTTACAGGTGATGGTGGTAATGCTATCACTGGAAGGGATTTCATTTATTTACTTGATAAGTACAAGCCATCTTTGCAGTGGGATGAGAAAAGTTCAGAGCATTTTTTCGTCTATTCAGATAAAGGTTTGAGACATGCTGTATTCTACCCAACGCTGATGTCCCTTTCTTTACGTTTGGATGAAGCTCAAGATTGGGGAACAGGGCTTTCAATTTGGGAAATTGGGCAAGGTTTGGACTATTTTTTCGATGTTCTTTAGGAATATCTCACGTGTGTTCTTTTTATTTTGGGAGCAATGTCAGTTAGACCACAACTATTGCAAAGTATTACAAGGTCACCCGTGGACATTATTTGTTTAGCATCAAAACTGTCACTTCATAACTGATTACATCCTTCTGGGAAATGTTTCCAAACACCAAATTTCCCCTTCAGTGTACTGCTGCAAAATTTAGATTAAGTGATATGAGATTTTTCATCTTCTTTACAGAATAAACATGGTTGCTTGTTTACTTTAGTTACTTCACTTGGTAGTACTATACTGCCTCATTCCTTAAGCAAGTATGATGATGTTGGTCTGGTTTTGTTATTAGCACATCATGCTCTGTGTATATTAATGTAATACACTTTACATTTGGTACAGCAATCTTATAGTTATGCAACTGTGCAATTCCCATTATTGTGAGCCAGCTTGTGATGCAATTCTAATAGATCAAAGAACAATAAATAGTTATGGAATAAACACATTAATTTTGCATTCAGTTTTTCCTCCCCTTTTGCATCAGGCATAAGACTGAGGCAACACAATTTATCTAAATTATAGCCTACTTTTAGGGCCTAAATCCTTTTCTAAAAAAGTTTGCTTCTAAATTGTACGCTACTTTTAGGGCATACACCCTTTTTCCCCCCTTATGTATTCTGGTGCTTTACTGCCCAGAACATTTCTACCTCTTTTGCTGTTCTTCCAGGGATTCTTCCAGCTATAAGTTCCCACCTGCATAACTCCATACAAGGAGCAAAGTTAGGGAACTGCAAATAATGTATTTTTTTGAAACAGACATATGGGTTTCATGAATTTGCCAAACTTCTGAAACAATCATAGTACAAGCTAATAATGTAAAAATACAATTTGTCTTCATTTTCACTTGATGCACATTACAGATATGTAATATGTGTATTAGGATACCTGTTCCCAACAAGCCTGTGCATTCTGAAAACGAGATCTTCCTCTTCTTCCGTGAAATGAACAAAATTCTGTGCAGTGTTATTAACTTCTGCAAAATTTATTAAAAAAACTGGTCACCAAAATAAGCAAAATAACTCAGTAGCCAACCATCTCAAATATTTTGCAAACTACTAGCCTCCATTAGAATTTGCAATCTGCCCTGGTGGGGATTTATTCTTATGCTGGAAGCCTGGAAGTAAACAAAGCTGGAATATGCCTTATTCATTATGTTAATCTGTTCCTATTAGCTATCAGGACTGATGATAGGCAACTGATTATCAAGTTTGCATGTATACTTTCTTGCAGTTTATGTAGTTACAAAGTTCCTTGCTACTTTGTGAGTATGCTCTGACTATTACTTCCTGACTTCTCGTTTCTCTTTGTTTTCTCCATTGACATAATCAAGTAAAGCATCAAGATGCAGAATATGACAATATACAGGTTAAATGTCGCTAGGTATTAACTAAATGACACTTCTTCATTTGTTTCCTTATTGAACATGATGATAGGAATTAGGAAATGAAAAAGCTATATACCTATTGTTAAGAGAAGCAAAGGTGAAAAGGCTAACAGGAAACAAACAGAAATTCAAGATATGCAAACCTTTTGTTTCACAACCATCACTGGTTTTGGAATTCTTTCCCTGGCTACCACTGCTGCTATCCATTAGGCGTGAAAAACTCCAATGAAATGCCGAGTTGAGATCTTGTGCTAGCTAAGATCCTCAGACCCTTGTTATGACCTTATGTTTTCTAGGGCCCTTCTCTGGGTAAAGATGAGCAAAACTCTGGTTTTTAAAGAGATGGGAGTTGGTAGTCACCTTCTGATCTAGCTGTCCTGAGTACTGACTAATGCTGCTGGCTGTTGGATTTCCCCTAGTCTTCCATTGGCTCCCTTATCTGTGTGGATTGGCTTTCTTGCTCGTTCGCTCTCCTTCTCTCTCTCATTTATTTTGCCATTCTCTCTAGAGTGTACTCCCTCTGTCCCACAATAAGTTCATTTTGTCCCAAAATAAGTTAATTTTTGAGTAATCATTGCGTCGGAGTTTGTGAAAGTAGTGGATAAATGCATTGGGAGTATATAAAGAGAGGCATAATTGCATTGGGATTTGATAAAGTGAGGGTATTATAATCTTTTTGGTTTTGTATTGGTATGTGTGATATGGGTGAAAAATGAAATTATTTTGGGACGGAGGGAGTAGACTCAAGTTTTTTCCATTTAATTTTCACTGTGCCTTATTATCTAGACTGCTGTAGTGCCATGTTCCTAAGATTTTCTGATCTATTTAATACTAAAAATGGACAAGGCAAAATGATATACATGCAAGTTGTAACTTACATATAAATAAATTGTTTCTGCAAAGTATAAAATATCCTTCTGAAAATCATAGTCGACTTAGGTGGGCACCTAGGGCTGCATTTTTGTATACAGTTTACCCCGAAGGTTTTCCTTCAGGTGGAGATGTGGAGTGTTTGCTCTCACTTTGTTAAAATGGTAATGGCAACATGAGCAAACCTTCCTATCTCCATAAACCTGCATATGCAAATCCACATGAACCTCCACAGCATGCTTATACTAATACCTGTAAAGAAGCTCAAAGTCCTTACAAATTTGACTTTTCTTAATTTTAGCCTTCCATTTAGGATACAGAGGGTGTGTTTAGTTCCTGAAAAAAGTTGAAAGTTTGAAGAAAGTTGGGAGTTTGGAAAAAAAATTGGAAGTTTATGTGTGTAGGAAAGTTTTTGATGTGATATGATGTGATGGAAAGTTGGGAATAAGGGGGAAACTAAACACGGCCAGAATTGACATGCCTAATGGAGATACATTTACTACGGAATACCTGATGGGGATGGGATGAAATTTATTAGATTGTGACTAGGAAAACCCTGCGCCTCACCACCCAGCCAGCAGACACTAGTTTTGAACTATTCTTTTGAGACTTGGACTCCAAATTCAAACTTCCAATCTTGAGTTCGAAAATGGTGGTTGGTTTCTAGCTGGTAAGTGCTAACCTCTTCTTTGGAAACAGCATAGCTGTATTTCAAGGGGAGCCTTAAACCTTTTCTTTTAATGTTCATTCTTCAACAGAGTAGAAGCTAAAGTTGGTGTCTGTTGTTTCTGATAATAAGTGTCATGATAGATATGGAAGTTGGCAATGAACTCTTCATGAGCCCATGTATAAATCATCAAGTAAGCTGTTTTTGCTTTTCCATGTATATCCTAATTCATATATTTAGGGCACACCTACTACTTATAAGGTAGCTAGCATGTTCTCATCCACCACAACTCCCAAGCCTGTAGACAACCTGAACCTTGGTGGTGAACTTTCAACTCCTAAATATCAATTTCTCTTTAATATTGAAGATCAGAACAGATCCAATAAGATCATAGCAGCCATGAAGGCAGTAGCAGAATAGAAATATAAATGAATTAGCTGATTTTCGCCCTCACAGTTCAAGCTGGAAAAACTGGCTCCCAGCAGATAAACCAACAGGAATGGGAGATGGAAGAAAGGAAAGGATCACCCTGTGCATGGGTCCCCAGCCTGCGCAGCTACCATCCCTACCAGATAAAGGAAAAGATGTTAAGGTGTGTTATAAATGTTACAACAGATGTTTCTTCTTGTTTATCCCATCTGAGTTTTTTTATCAGCTTACCCACGCATCTGGTTGTGTATCAGGTGTAGTGCACCTACCAGATATTTAAATTCAAAACCTCACCCACGTATTCAGTGGGGGTCACTATAAAAGAAGGCATCCTTCCTTCTTTGAGCCCCACCCTGATCATATTTGTTAGATGTGCTTAACTTTGTTGTCCTGCTTCCAAATCTTGCCCCTTGTTATATTGTCTCCAAGTCCAATATTGTCACCAACCTCTTAGATTGTTCTTTACATGATATTTCTTTGTGTTAGTTAATATTTATGCTATTTGTGAGTAAGCTTGTCTTCTGGCCTCAAGGCTCAAGAGTTAAGACCATGAATTCTGACATTTGCTCCTTTTTTTTTTGGATAATTCCACCTTTTCTTTTTCTTTTTTCAGTTCATGGTCAAAGATTCTTATTTGAAAAAAAAAACATTATTGTCTAAGACTTTAATTCACTGGGCTAACGGAAGTAAACTCATAATGGCAATCTGATCCGCAGTAGCGTCACACGGCCACATTGTTAAATATACTTTCACAGTGCATATACTGTTGTGCTGCTCGGTAGTTTGTACTACTTCCTCAGTCCCATAATATATCAACGTGGTATTAGATAGTACACAACATAGTACTACGCCCTTCGCTGTACACCCTTGTCCAAATTTGTATTACGATATTATGTCTCATCTAGTACTAGGTTGTTATATTTATGGTTGTAGTTACATTTATGTATCACTCTCATCGACTAGAAACTATCTACGGATATGGAATTTAATACGGTCCATAAGTTTAACTGTTGCTTTTAGTTTATAATGGTACACAAACTTTGCCAATTTCATCTTAAGAGAAAAACTTAGCTCATTTGTTACTACCATTACTCAAGAGTCACCAGCAGCCAGGTGCCAGCTTTGTTCACAGTAGTCCAGTCCATTTTTTATAGATATATTTTTAAGACTCGGTAGTTACTAGTTACTCCATCCATTTCATAATATAAATCATTCTAGCATCGTCCACATTAACATCTATATGAATGTGGGCAATACTAGAATGACTTACATGTCTAAATTCATTAACATCTATATGAATATATACAATGCTAGAATAACTTACATTATGAAACGGAGGAAGTACGTAACATTTCCGTTCTGCATTCATCTATTGCATACATTTTATTTGCTTGCAAGTTGCCTTGTGCAACTATACAATTCTACTTACAGTGGATGGTCGGTGTACCAGTACGTTGATCAAATGTTGGCAATACGGGCACCAGTGTTGGCCTGGGAGCACCTGTATTGGTACCTCAACATCATCAGCCCAATGAAGGGTCTCAAGGTAAGTATGCTTGGTTGAAGTTAAATTTGATACTATGAAAATTGATTTACTGACAATCTAAAAGATATAATTTACTGACGATTTTCTCCCCCCTACACACCTGGAAAGTTCTTTTGCCGATCATTGTTGTCCGTCTGATGTGTGTCCGAGCCTCCTTGCAATTATACCGTTTGTGGACGTCTGGTGGATAGCGTTCATCCTCAATCATTCATTCTGCTACGGTGCTACCGGCCTATTGGAACTAGGTTTTTTTTTTGTTGGTACTAAGGTAGTCTTTGGATCCAGTCCAGGGACTAAATTTTAGTCCATGTTACATCGGATGTTTGAACACTACTTAGATGTATTAAACGTAGACTAATAATAAAACTAATTGTATAAATGAAAGCTAATTCGTGAGACAATTTTTTTAAGCCTAATTAATTCATAATTAGCACATGTTTACTGTAGCATCAGATAGGTTAATCATGGATTAATTAGACTCAATATATTCGTCTCGCGAATTAGTCTAGGGTTATAGTATGTGTTTTCTCATTAGTCTACGTTTAATACTTCTAATTAGTGTCCAAATATCCGATATAACAGGGACTAAAATTTAGGTCCACACACCACCAAAGATGGAGTAACGCTGTTTGGTCGTAGTCGTGTCTGCTGTTAACCTGATGCTGTCACGCCTGATACCTCCAGTTCAGCTGTTGTTTTTCCCCTGTATACGCAAGGGGGTTGCGCATCTCTTCTGTACAGTAGCAGTACTAAGAGGGTGTTAGATTCAGGGCGTAAAGTTTTAGCGTGTCACATCGGGTATTATATATAGGGTGTCGCATAGGGTGTTGGACCATAGTCACAAAGTTCCTGGATAGATGGGATCGAGGAACGGGGTCGAGGAACGTGATCCGCTACTTGCGAGAGGTTTTTACAAGGTGGGGACGAAAATGACCCCGCGTTTTCGGGACGGGGACGGCGTTCCCGGGTCGAGGATCGCTGCCACCGACCCCGTTTCCTGTGACTATGGTACTTGGGACAGTAATAAAAAAACTAATTACAGTATCCGTCAGTAAACCGCAAGACGAATTTATTAAACCTAATTAATCTATCATTAGCATATGTTTACTGTAGCACCACATTGTCAAATCATGGAGTAATTACACTTAAAAGGTTTGTCTCGCAAAGTAGTCGCAATCTATGCAATTAGTTTTTTTAGTCTATATTTAATACTTCATACAGGTGTTCAAACATTCGATGTGACAGGGTGTAAAATTTTAAGGTAGGATCTAAACAGCGTGATACCGTGCCGTCAGGCAATTACAACAGCAACCCAGCAGCAGATGAACAAGAAGAGAAATTATATGAAAGCTATTCCCTCCTTTAAAAAAAAAACTCAATCTAAACGGGATATGATCCTTCATAGTATAATGAATCTAGATAATCTTCTGGTCAGATTCGTTGTGTTAGAAGGATTACATCCCTTCTAGGTTTTTTTTTTTTTTTTTGAAGAGTGAGCACTATCTGACAGCCAGAATTGAACTGACTAAACAGAAAAGCAAAGGACTCCACTCGAGAGATATCAGATGTTCACTGTTTGCTCCACTGTGCACCAAATCCTCGCCTCCTTCTGCCAGGTTGGCTGCTGGTAGCTGAAACACTGCATTGTCCCTCTCCTTCCAGATCACCCAAGCCACTGAAATTAGCAAGGTGTTGTCTTGAGGCCTGATACGTCCAGTTCTGGTTGACCTGGTCCCTATGTCAGCTGTTAACCTGACGCTATTAGGCCTGATACGTCCTGTTCTGGGTCCGGGTGTCCCCGGCATGGCCATGTGATCCGAGGGGGACGCTTGCAATCTTTCAGGGGGGAGAGCATTGTAACCTCGCGGCCACATCCCACATCAATGTTTTATTGTGCAGTAGTAGCTGTCGAGTTATATCATCATGCATTCATTACCCATCATCTGCTCTGAATGGTACGTTCCCATCAGCCTCAAACTGTCAAATTGCCTTAATAAGCTTAATCGTTTCTCCTACAAAGAATCAGTTGGTGCTAAAATTTAAATTCTAAGACATAATTTTGAAGTAAAATTTTAGGGTATTTTCAATGTAGTTTCTTTTTTCAGCATTTATTTTTAAATCGCATGAACGCATATGTAAAAATTAACTATATTTTTTTCTAGTAAACTATAGTATATATATGGGAGACATCGAAGTAGGGGCAAGAACGAAATTGTCCCATACTCCCTCCATCCTAAATTATAAGGCTCAACCACTACTAACACAAAGACCAAGAAAGAATTTAATCACCTCCTTGATTGAATTGCATCCATACATGCAAGCAATGTGATTGGAAGACTTAATGGTACATGAATTAAAATAAATCAAATTTAAAGAATCAAGAGGTGATAGTAAATGTATTCATGCATGCATGCTTTATATTATAAGACATGGAAAAAAAGTGGTTGTTCCTTATATTTTATGATAGGGGGAGCAGTATATAATCAGCTCTTTGATAATTGATGAGGGTGAATTTGGTCCATTAGGCCCACCAAAGCACCAACCCGTGGCTGCACCCGACAATCTAGTGGCTTCTGCAAAACGTTGCATGGCATTCAGTTCCTATCTTTCTTTCTGGAACCAGTAGCAATCGCCTGGTCACACACGATCACATCGTGCATCTTGATGCGATACGAGGACCGGTTCGCAACATCCATATAGGAGTAATGGATAAGCCTAAAAGCATCAGTTACATCACCCTTGAGGGCCAATTTAATGATGGACCAAAACCATTAAAACCAACCACGTGCACGACAGTATAATTGAAAGAGATCTTGCAGAATTCTTTAACATTGATAAGCAATCCACTTAAATGCTTGTTTGCACAACTTGGGAGCTGGGAATCCCCCAAGGCCCCAGTTCCAACCAGAAAAAAAAGATATGCAACCCTAGTGAGACACATTGCAGTCAAGCACAGCTTGTTCATGCCAAACTCCATTCAGGTTAGCCTGCCATAGCTTAACCATGCCATCACCTCCGGTCGATGCGAGTGTCATACCGCCCATGTCCCATTCCAGTTGCAGGACCTAGTAAGGTGTGAAAAACAAGCATGTGTACCGAATAATCAGTAAAAATTACACTAGGACCAGTCCTCTTCAACTATACTGTAATTTCTCAAGGAGCCTCATGAACAAAAGACATTCTCCAGAAAGCCCATGTAATACAGCCAATAACTACTGCACAAAGACAAGACAAGTTTATTGTACCTCCCCATCATGGCCAGAAAGTACAGCCACATTCTCAGTTGACAGGCTGCCGTCAGATTCAGCGCTTAAGCCTATATGCCAGATTGCGATTCCTTTACATGTCGCAACTGCTATGATCTCATATGGTCTGAAACACATTATGTGAAAATAATTAGCAGAGCATATTAGGATGGTAAAAACAAACCCCTATGCCCATGGGAGATTGAAACACTATCTGAATATGATGCTCTACCAGGGCTCTTATAAGCATGGTCATGATGGACCAATTGCCATACTTTTTCGAAGCCCAGCCCAAGGTCACCCAACCATCAATTAGCCTTTAGTTTTGCATGCTGACTATGTTTATATGTTCCACGTGCCATCATGTACATACTAACTATAGCTTATTCGAACCCCCAAATCTGTTCACCATTTTCATTTTCATTCTCAACAGCTCAAAATTCCAAAATATATCATTTTACTTGTCTCCCAGATTGCTACATTATTATAGAGGCAGAGGACACAATGTTGAATACTAAACCAAACGCAGCAAGTGTCAGACAACATAATATATCTAAATTATGGCAAAAGAACAGGAAATGTATTCGACTAATAATCTTCTACATAGTGTGTATTTGAACATGTCAAAATTTACTTGCCTGATTCCATAGTTGCTACGAGCTGCAACATTTTTACACGACAGAAACAACAATGAACACCATAAGTGGCTCAAGCATAAGTCAATCACCCTCATCCAATGACAATTTCATCTTAAGAAACCAGTTATTTGTTATAGAAGTTAAGCAACTAAATGATGCTAATATCAGCAGTGAACACAAAACATTCAAAACACAATACATATTGAAAAATTAAGGCATGTCAACTGTTATGCTTGCTGAAGAAAGGAACAACCTGCCGATGTTAGGAGCCCATGCTACAGCATGCACTATATCCCCCTTATCCTGAGGTGAGCCAAGCTCAACAAGGGGGAGCCAACGCTGGTGAGCTTCTTCGAACTCCCAAATCTGTTCACCATTTTCATTATTTTATTAGAATAGTGTCAGAAACAGACGACAGCTCATGAACTAGGCAAAAGAAAAACTGATTACTCACTAAATACAAAACCAAATCTACTTCATGCAAGGTTTCAGTAATACTTTTTACAGATTTAAACCTACAATGATCTCCCGAATTACTACTACTATTTATTTCCTCCAAATGCAGAAGAGATAAAATAGTGGTTTGCTTTTCTACTTCTTGGTTATCTATTCTCTATTTTACTTAAAATGTTAGTAGTGGTGGTGTCCATTCCCACACCACACCTACCACTAACATCTGGGTCCCACAATCTATACTATTACACCACCTTTTAACAAGTCCTCCATTTCACTATTAGCTCCCCCCAAATTTCAAAATCACCTATTACTTGTTCAATAAGAAAAATCATAGTATTACTTAGACTAAATAAGTGCTTATTAATTGATTTAATAAGCTAGAAACTCAATTTGTTTTCCGCTGCAATGCACGGGCTCTAGGCTAGTAAGTAGTAAATATAGAAGGTAAATTTGAGCATATGAAAGAAAATTTAATGCATGGAAGATCTCTATGCAAAAGAACAATTACTTTATGCTTTATTTAGTATGCATAAACAGATGTACTACAGAAGAACGATGTTGATAGGAAATAATAAGTTCTGTCCTGCTGCTACCTGCTGGAATGGAGTCACTGTAATTTATGCAGACAATAATGAAATAAAAATAGTACTACACTAAATTCCACGTACCTTACAAGAGTTGAAATTTGGAGAGTCTGAATTGAAACCAATAGCAAAACTAGCCTGCTGACTTTCACCTCTTCTTGGACTCCATGCAATTGATGCAGAAGTACATGCTGGCTTCCCAGATCGGGAAACAGGATCTGTAATGTTCTGGAACTCCGCCTGAAATGTTGTTATTACTTAGTAATTGCTATTGTTAAACAGATCAGATGACTATAGCACTATTCAATGGAAGAAATGGGTTTGCTAGTTTAGATTAGCAAGGAATATATAGGAACCAAACTAAATGATTGAGAACATTGGTAAATGTGAACAGAAGTTAGATAAACCTGAAGCTGCCACTTGTCTAATTCCAACGAGTCCAAGAGCTCATAAACCTTCACTTGGCCATCTGAGTATGCAGTAACCTGTGGAGACCAACAGAAGTTACTACTTACTACCAACGAATGAGGTACACACACAACATATCATATGTGGACACCAATACAAAAGTTTCGATACACAGACAACCTGCAGAACAGTCAAAGCAAAATAACATTTAATTGCATAAATATGAGTTGTTGCTGGCTAGTCACTATTGGTTGTTTCTAGTTAACATTTCTAGACTTTTGTGCTGCTTAACAAACTTTCATATGCTCATTAACATAGCTCCATTGTGGCATTGCCTTCATCTACTGTAATTTAATCTGATGTACAAGGTGCAGAGAGTACTTTCAGCAAGTCTGAACCATCTACAGAAATTTCGTGATTTATAATGAATGCCATTTCTCCCAAATAAAGAAAAATAAAAAATGGTTCTATTGGCATGAAAAAGGTGTGAATTGGAGTTGCAAACACAAATTCAGATGTTAGAGCTTACCATTTTTAGACTAGACAGTTGTAATCCAAACTGTACGTGTAGTATGTGAGAATTGCCACTCTCAAATACTTTACATTTCCTCCAGGTTGGAAGTTGATCATCTGTCAAAGGAAAATTTGAGTTTGACTGCCATTTCCATATAAAGAAAATAACAAGGAATGCAGTACAGCATGAAATAAAACGTTTTCTTTTCTGAAAGAAAATAACAAAAGAGTTGTGATAAATATAGTATATGTTTAACTGAAATATGTACCATTAAGAGAATTTAGCAACATTTATTTTATTACTTTGTTAATCAAATAAGTATTTTACACAAACCATTTAATATTTCTCATTTGAATTTTCATAAGAACATGTGCATTAAGTGAATTTCAGGTAAACTCACTAGAGCTTTAGGAGAACTTGATGTCGCTATACTGGTTTAGATATATTGTTGGTTGCACTACAAATAACATATCATTAAAAGAAACTGTCCATTCTGACTCCCCTGAAAGTTTCCCCGTTGGAGTACTTAAACACCTAAACCTTTTTTTTGTTCTAAGTCTTGCTTCATCCCTCTGAACTACTAAAACCACATCATTTCACTCACTAGTGACATTTTCTTTGTTTCTCCTCATACAAGAAGTGTCTTCAAGTTAAAATTTTGTGGAAAGGTAGATGATAATGAATGCTATGTTACAAAATATTTCAAAACTTTTAATGGCCATTTCCATAGGTTGGGAGAACCTAATATTTCAAAACAAAACAAAAGAGAATCTGCAATATTCTAGAAAAAAGAGGTCACGATGTACATGATAAATCAAAATATCATAAGAAAAGTGCTTGAAATCCAATACCCAAGTACAAACAAAATTAAAACCATGGAAGTAGCAGGAACAATAACAATATTCTACTCTGTATCAGCCACATACATTTTGATGGCCAAAGGCAAGTTGAGTTAGCTATATAGACTGTAACAGTAAGTACATAAAAATCAATGGTTCCCAACTTCCCATGTGGCCTTTAACATCACTTGGATAAGTTATTGTTCAGATTTTTCAATATAAAGAACTAAGAAAAGGAAACTCTCTCTCCACCGCAAAGTAGACCAAAACACAACTTAAAAGGCATAAGAACAACTAACCTTCACTGACCTCCTCCCACAAAGATAGCGTCCCATCAGCACAAACACAAGCTATAGCATCCCCATAGTCCGGAGGAAGCCACACGATATTCAGGATCGCATGCTTGTGGGCCTGACTCAACACCATAACGAACCCAGGTCAAACAAATGGATGTGGTAACAGAAACCACAGAGCAAACACAAGAGATATCAAACAGAAACATGCAATGGATAACACAGCAACAATCATTTACCGTTCCATTTCCTTCAGTACAACATCTCCTGATAATTTCCAGAACAATCACCAATTCAACCTCACGACTCTAGCAATACACATGTATTTACTGTTCTAGTTTGGCACACTAATAATACAAACACACTAAAATGTCCTGGTATATCTTGTGTTTGGTTGAAAGTAGACTAATTTTCTGCACTAAAGAACAAGAGCCCTGCATTATTTACTAGTACTAAATACACATCCATGACGAATTTTCCTATGCAGGTATGCGTACAAGCAGAATCCTGATACACTAACAAAAAGCCCTAAGCTTTGCACCAATACCAACTACGCTTCGAAGCTCAAGAGCGAGAAAGGGGCAGGTTCCTGGTGGGGTTGAAGATACTCAGGGTTTAAGGCGGGGGGAGGATTCTGGTTTCGGTGGTAAACCTGACCTGCCACTTGGAGGAAGGCGACGGCTGGGACTGGGAGTCGTAGACGGAGACGAAGCCGTCGACGGCGCCGGCGGCGAGGCGGCGGCCGCAGTGGTTCCAGCCTACGCACGCCGCGCCGGCCCCCAGCTCCGCCACCTGCCGCTCCGCCATTCCTCCCTGAGATGAGATGCCCTCGCCTACGGTGGCGGCGGCGGCGAGAGCACGCAGCCTGCTCGGAGGTGGGTTTGTTGGAGGAGAGAACGAGACGCGGCGGCCCAGGTGGGTTGGGTGTACGGACACTGGTCCGTTCCGTTTGCTAGGTGGGTTGGTCTGTCTTTACGTGTTCATCAACTTTGGGGTGGTAGTTTAGTTTAGTTGGGCTGTAATGTGGGCTTATATTTTGGTAATTTGCATTATTATTATTATTAACAAAACTGTTACTCGTTGTCTTTTCTAAGGTACTCTTTGGCGCTGATCGGTAATGCTGCACGTTCATTTTATACGGCTGTAACAGGACGCCCAGCTTGCTAGCTGCAGCTGCCAACACAAACGATCAAAGTCTCTGTTTATGCTTATGAGTCTGAGCCGAAAAGTCTAATATAAATAAACAAACAGTTTATTTTTTAGTATTTTAATGCTATAAGTCACTCTTACATTGTTAATCCAAGTGTTATTAACAGCTTTATGACCTTATCTTACAGTCTCTGGTTTCAGTTCTAACTCAAGAGAATCGATTCCTAAATCCCCATGCTTCAATTTTCCTCAAGTAAAAGAAAACAGAGGCAGCTACCATAGGGAGGCGCATCAAGTGTGTTGTACCAACCGGGATAAACAGCTTTATTTTCCCTAAAACAACCTGCACGTCAGCTACATTACCGTTCCGGCTCAACTAAAATGGGCCACAATGTGACAAATACGGTTTAGGCCCCTACTAATTGAGCCCCATTCCTGAGCTATATGGGCCAGAATATATATGGGCCCCTTCGAACATGACGTCACCACGCTGCCCTGCAAACCGTCACCCCACTCGCCCCCCATCGACTTCGTACCAGACCGTCACCGCCGCCTTCGATCCCTCGCCTCGCCTCGCCTCGCGTCGCGCGCATGGCGAGAACTCCGGTGGCAGCGGAGTCCGGCTCCGACCTCCGTTTCGGCTTGCTCGAGGAAGGCCGGCCGCATCCCCCGGTCGTCGCGGCCGCGGCGGCGGCGCTCGTGGGCGGAGCGCAGCGGCGCCGCAACTCGACGCCTCCATGGCTGCACGCGCTTAGGGTAACTGCATTCGTCAACCCCTGTTTTCTTCAGATTTCTCCCCGTCCAAATCCGTCTGATCTAGTTTCTTTCGTTCTTCCCAGTTGTTCTGCATCATCGCCGCCACCGCGATGGTGGCCGTCTTCGCCGCGTGGGTTTTCCCCCGGTGCAAGGGCAAGCAGGACGTGCTCCTGTGCGTCGTCGCCCTAGCCGGTGCCGTGTTCACCGGGCCGATCCTGGGGTTTCTGCTGACGACGTGCGCCGCCGACGCTGACGACCACGAGGCGGCCGCGCGCGTCGCCTCGCGCTACACCAGGTGCGAGGAGAACGTGGGACGATCCGTCATCCTGGCCGTTGCGCTGCTGGGCCTCTACGCCATCTACCTCGCCGCCGTGAGCTGCGGCGGAGAAGTCGACAGGTTCCTGCTGGCGGCTTACTACGGCGTGATGGGCGTCGGGGTGATCGTTGGGCACTCCGTTTCGTGGATCATGGTAAATGCCAATTGCTTTTTCTCGGTGGTTGCAATTGGTTTTTGATTCGACAATGATCGTAGGTTAATGAAAAATGTGTTCTGAATTCAATCTCGCAGGGATGCTTTCTGCGCCGCGATTAGAGATGGAGAGCAGTGGATCATGGTATGTCAATTATTTGCTTTCTCGGCAACCGCAATTGGTTTGATTCGACGATGATCGTTGGGTAATGAAACACTGGTTTTGAATTCAATGTCACAAGGATGCTTTCTAGCTATGCTGTGATTAGAGATGGAGAGCAGTATTAGGATAGATACATCGGTCCTATGGATACTCAGTTTTTTATTCTCGTCATTAATGGAGAATATATGGCACCTTAATTACTGTCTACGGATTGCTTTTAATCAGAGCAGCTTGGCATAGATAATGAGATGAGGAACTGCTTTGTTGTTCACTTGTTCTTCTTCCATTCTACCAATGCAAGATTACTTAAGCATGCGTTCTACCGTTTCTATTACTACTTGTTCCACTGTTCTGTAATGCAATGCTAGTTCCACTGTTCGGTAATGCAATGGTAAGAAGAAAGCTTGCAATTTTGTGCAATTAGAGCTAACAGTTTTGTTTCAGACCATAATAATAAGTATCTTAAACATCTGAGCATCTCTTGCATCATGTGGCTGAACCGAATACACATTATATTAGAACTTTATTTGTCTGGAGAGTGAAATGCTTCTTTCTCAGTTTATAGAAGTGATTAAATTCATAATCTCGCACCGGAGGAAGAGTCGTTAGATCATACTGATCACCTTAGTATGGTCGATACAAGCAGATTTAACAAATCTAATAGGCATATGCACATTCTTTTTAATTCCCATCATTGATGGAGCATTATACGTTACTGTTGCTTTTAATAATAGGAGGTTTTTTTAGTTGGCACAAAGATGAGATGACGAACCGGACTGTTATTCTTGTATTTACCCGTGGAAAATTGCTTAAGTTCATGTTCTGCCTTTTTATGGAGTCCGTGTCGCCGCCCCTCCCCCGCCGCCGCGTCGCTCGTCGCCGGCTACCGACACCCTCCTCCTCTCCCGCCTCGCACTGCTGGCCTTGCAGAGAAGGGAGGGAGAGAGAGAGAGATGAGGAAGGGAGAGAAGAAGGGAAAAGAGAGAGAGAGGAGGCTGATGTGGCCACACTGATATGTGGGGGCGCATGTGGCTCCACTCAGCCGTCATGTCGGATAAAACCGGGGTAAAAACCACCGAAGAACCTAAAGCGGACAGCTTTGTAAGTTGAGGGTTGTCATATATCAGGTTTTACCGTTGGGGGATGATTTTGTAACTCGATGAGAAGTTGAGGGACCTTCGGTGTACTTTTTCCTTCCTGAGAAATGGGCGAGAATACTTACAGAAAGGATGATTCGATGGAACCTTCCGATTGGTGTGGACTGTGCGTTGCAACCGATGGTACAACTTCTAATAGTACTTATTGTGAGCGATTATAAACTTTTAAGAGGATGTTTTGTATGTCATTCAAATGATTATATTTTTTAAAAAAAAAGTTCAACAAGATAGATTAACATATGATAAATCACTTCATATATATGCAAGTTAAATTTTGACTTCTACAAATTACAATAAAAAACAAATTAAATTCGTTTTTTAACTTGTTGAAGTTAAATTTGACATTGCATGTTTGTGGAGTGGTTTATCATATATTAATCTATCTTATTAAAAAAATATTTTTTATAACCATTTAGATGACTTTATTTTTTATAGCGTATATTAATCATTTTTTTATAACCAAATTCAACTTCGACGTTCCATCCGCGCGCGGGGTGGTGATCAACCGCGCCCCTTCCACTCCCCGACCATCCCGGCGAGCGCCTGGTGCTGCGGTCCACCCGGCGCCGATGCCACCGCCGCCGCAGCACGCAGCTCGCGGGCCTTCTTCCACGCCGCCGCGCCCTTCTTCCCGGCCATCAGCTCCCTCACCGCCGACGCCACCTCCTCCCGCGTCACCACCCCGCGGTCGTCGTCCGGTCGCACCCGCAGCGCCGCCAGCCCAACCCTCTCCGACGACAGCATCACGGCGTTCATCTTCTGCTCCGCGAACAGCGGCCACGCCAGCGTCGGCACGCCCGCCGACGCGGCCTCCAGCGTCGAGTTCCACCCGCAGTGCGACAAGAACCCTCCCACGGCGCGGTGGTTCAGGACCTCCACCTGCGGCGCCCACAGCGGCACGGCGAGCCCGGCGCCCTTCGTCCTCTCGACGAACCCCTCAGGTAGGTAGCTCATCGGGTCGTCGTTGTCGCCACGGTCGTTCGTCCCGAAGTAGCTCGCACTGACGTCCTTGTCGCTGGGGAAGCGCACCACCCATAGGAACCTCTGCCCGCTCGCCTCCAGCCCCGCCGCCAGCTCCGCCGTCTGCGCGACGGACAGCGTGCCGCCGCTGCCCAAACACACGTACAGCACAGATCCGTCCGGCTGTTCGTCGAGCCACCGTATGCAGACGTCGTTCGCCGCCTCGCTGGTGGGCGACCGGACGAGCGGGCCGACCGCGTAGGCCGGAGGGTACACGCCTTTGTCCGAAAGCTCCTTGAACGCCACAAGTGTGTCGTGCTCCATGGCGTCGAAGGTGTTGATGAGGAAGCCGTCAGCGAGGAGGTAGTCGAGCCCCAGCTCTACCATGAGCTGGTACACGGGGTTGGCGCGGTTTTGCACGGGGTCGATGAGGTCGGCGCCGTGCAGCGGCACGCATCCCGGGAGGACGACCGGCTCCGGGAGGTCGCGGCACTCGCAGGCGGTGGTCGTGGCGAGCTCCGGGGTGTAGAGCAGCGTGGTCAGGCACAGGAGGTTCGAGGTGAAGAAGACGTATCGCGGGATGCCGAGCTCGGCCGCCACGGCGAGCGCCGCGGGGCAGAGCATGTCGGTGAGTAACGTCGTGACGCCGGCGGGGGAGGATGAGCCGAGGAAGGAGAGCAGGAGCTCACGGAGGTGCGGGAGCGTGCGGCGCACGACGGCGAAGATGCGCGTCTCGATGCGCGCGTCGGCGGGGAGGTCGTCGAGGGACACCTCCGGGAGCGCCGTGGCGGTGACGCCCGTCGGGAGGGAGGCGAGCGCGGAGGAGTTCCTTGCCGTGGAGAGGTTGGTGTACGTGACGATCGTGGCCGTGCAGCCGTGGTGCGTGGCGAGGCGCGCCGCGAGCTGGGCAGCCGGGGCGACGTGCCCCGCGCCGGGGCTCGGGAGCAGGACGACGTGCGGGGTAACGGCATGCGCCGGCGCCATGACACCAAAATGTTACTGCCGCTGGCTTAGGTAGCGCGTTCCTCTGGGTAGAAACCGTTTTAAACACCCCGGGGGTGGACGTGTACCCATTTCTTATATTTCAACTAAATGGTTATGAAAATCTTTTTAAAAAATTGACAAGATAGATTAATATGTAATATATCAGTTCATAAACATTTAAGTTTAAATTCGACTTATACAAGTTGTAATAAAAACAACAAATTTAACTGCGATTATACATATATACTAGTTAGAGTTTAATTTGTTATTTTTTTATAACTTGTAGAAACCAAATTTAAACTTACATGTTTGTGAAGTGATATATTACATACATATTAATCTATCTTGTAATGTTTTTTAATTCTTTTCCTAACTATTTAGTTAACATAGAAGAAATGGGTAGACTCCACCTAAGTGGCCAGAATCCATATGTGGAGGGGAGGAGGAGAGGAGAGGAGGGTGCTGGAGAGGATCTTGATCTTGAGGGGGAGGAGGAGAGTTGAGATATTTTTATTCCGTGGAGAGGTGGGTGGATAAGGACGCATGGGCGGTGCGTGAATTTTTTTAACAGATGGTGGTTATTCTACCGCTGGTGAAAATCGATTTTCGCTGGTGGTTGCTTAAGTGGGCCGCCAACAAAAATAATCGTATCTTTCCCTACCGAACTATATAACCCAATGGTCAGCGAAAATTATTCATCTTTGCTGGCGGCGCATCTAAGTGACTGCCAGCGAAAATGAACATATCTTTGCTGGCGGCCGGTATAACGTGGCTGCTAGTGAAGATCCATTTTTGCTGGCGGTCAGTGCCCCCCACCCCCTTGTTACGATCTTGCTGGCGGTTTTTGTATTTTTCCGCCAGCGAAAATCATAGACCAACGTTATGAAAAATCGTTTTTTTAGCAGTGATAGTTCAGACTCAGCAGCAAGTGTTCTTTTCACGTTTATGGCAGAGCACTGGAAATGTTCTTTTCACGTCACAGTCTCATGGATTAAATATTGGAAGTGTTTTTCTTCCACTCGAGGGGGACGTACACTCTTGGTATACATAGCATTTAAAATAATTGTAACATTCCGGATATTTAGCTATAGTCTTAATCATGCTAATAATTTGATCACACTAGCTGAGAGCGGTGTTGATTGAGCCACGATGTTGGCTAGGATCTATAAATATATTTGATTGTTATTCTATTCTGGATATTAAATGGTTTTTCAATCGTTTCCTTGTGATTTATTTATTTAGTCATATCCATATGCATCATTGAATTATTGTTAGTTAAAGTAAACCTGGTGAGAAATGGGATAATTTAGTTGTGGTGATCATACCACCTTGCTGGCCATGAATTATAGCATGGATTAGTCATCACTAAGAGAGGGACACATATGCGCAATAGAAATCACCATGGAAGTTATAGCACTTTATTCACAATTTACCGGTACAGTTTTGCAACCATCCATACATACATGCATATAGTTATATATTTAGAATCTTATACAGTATGCATTTCATATATTGTACGAATACATTAGCTCAGAACATATCATGTAATTAGTAATATTTCAAAAAGGGACCCTGCGTTATAGAACAAACTATAAACCAGTCCCTAAACTAAGGGTAATCTCCAAATTTCTAAGACTTAAAAGGGACCCGAATGCATATATACTAAATATCCTATATCTCACAAAATCTCCATCTGTTAGAAATGAGTGAGGAGCCTCAAAATTATTCCACCGAACATGCCTGGTGAGGTGTCAACCCCAGCTGCAGCCAACAGAGTTCTAGTAGGTGAGTCACTAGCCAAGATTAATTAAGTGGTATATGTTCCTTTGAAATAAAGCTACTGCCATAGGAGTCATTACTAGCTACAGCCATCGAACGAGCTAGTTTAGGAAAATGCCGAGTGATCCCAAAGCAAGAAGAGAGCAAGGCCTCCAACACTGGCTATCTCTGCTTGGAGGAATTACCAAAACATTAGCAATAGCAGTCACCACCAGCAGTTGGCTGGGGATCCAGCTCAAGTCAGAGAGAAATAATCGTAGCAGTAAGTTCAGCACCACAACTACACCCCATTTCAATGATAGCAGCCATGGAGAAGCAATCAAAAAGGCCAGAGAATAGGAGGAGAAGCAGTGATTGTTTGAGATTTAGAAGGAGCAAGAAACTCAGATCAAGAAGCAAGATGGAGCAAAAATCAAGCAAGGGGATCAGCTTCAAGAGAGCTCAAGAAAAATGGCAGGAAGCAGTCATGCAATATGAGTAGAGCAAGAGCCAAGAAGAAGTACCTGAGTTTCAAGTAAAGCAAGGGGCTTTAGTTCCAGGATTAGCATGTCATAGTACAAACCCATCAGGAGGTGTCTGAGTTTAAAGTGGAGAAACTAAAATTCCATCAGGAGAATCCTTGAAACTAAGTCTATAGGAGCAGTTGCAGAACCAGAGTAGATAACCATATATCAGCCACTCTAAAATCATGGCAGGTAATCAGGAGATTAAAATGAAATTGAAATCATATCATGGCATGATTCTTGTGTGATCATATACTAGTATGTGTAGGAGTTGTGTATTGCATTCTCATCCATTAGAATATGAACAAGAGCATATCTGAATCAGTAAAAGGACCATATAATAATTTCAGCTGTAGAACATGTGTAACCATTAGGGTATAAATATTTTAATTTAGCTGACAAGTAGAAAGATTAGTTATAGTTTTGTATCATCATGTTGCTAGCAGCAAGAAATATTTTATATTGCTTAGAAGTATGGTAATTGTGCTGTTGGGCTTAAAAACTAGATATATAACTAGTTATGTGGGGTAAGGTTCAGTAAAGACCATAAGAATCTTGATTTGATAAATAGTTGATTAGAGATAGTAATAACTTACTGGATTTAACCTCCAGAATTTAGTAAAAGTCCAGATGGCAGATTGATGTGCATATACAGATATAGAAGTCCAGATGGCACCAGTAGTTCAGATTAATGTGCATATACAGATATAGAAGATGAGTACTGTGTTCCAGAAAAAAGAATCAAATTAGGGTGATAAGTTTAATGAGTAGAAAACCATAGACTTCTATAGTAGATAGTCTATAGCAACTGTTTAGATTTAGAGCATAGCATCTGGATAAGTTGCATATATATAATTATAGCTGATTAGTTCAATTATTGGCCTCATGAACCATTCTAATCAAGTATGACGTAAATTGTGTTATTTGCTCTGTAAAACATACATTGATGTCAGGACATATAGACAGTAGTAGTAAATCATCGAAAGAAATCAGTCACCATCTCTTTGTATTCAATGCCAGATTTCATAGGTTATAATTCAACTATATATATGCTGTGTTTAGATCTAGTGATGAAAAGTTTTGGCGTGTCACATTGGATATATAAACACACATTTGAATTATTAAACGTAGACTAATAACAAAACAAATTACAGATTCCGCCTGTAAACTGCGACACGAATTTATTAAGCCTAATTAATCTGTCATTAGTAAATATTTACTGTAGCACCACATTGTCGAACCATGGAGCAATTAGGTTTAAAAGATTCGTCTCGCAATTTACACGCAATCTATGTAATTAGTTTTTCTTTTTGTCTATATTTAATACTCTATGCATGTGTCCAAACATTCGATATGACAGGATGAAAAGTTTTTGCGTGGGAACTAAACAGGGCCATAGTACAGGTCTTGCCAAATTATCAAATTGTAGAAGATGTAAATTGCTGCATCATTCAATAAAATATATTTGTTGGATTGCTATAGTTGGACTTGTTGAGTACCATTTGTACTCATCCATATATATATTATTCCTTGTAGTGTTGAGCTAACAATTAGGTGAAGAAAGGTTCTACATGATTGATCAAGATCAAAGCAAAGAATCGTTCCATATCTCTACATCAACTGAGAGTTGAAGGTCACGAAGATCTAGAATAGCAAGATACTGTTAGTGATTATTTTGTCAAAGCTAATTTCTTTGGCTTTTATTTAATGGGTTTCGTTACAATTGTTTCTGCTATGCTACTCTGGTGTGCACATTTCTCGGTAAGTTGGTTCTTACTCAGAAATGAGCCGTAGATCGGTATTCTACCTCGAAAATAGAATACGAGGGTCGCTACGATAATAAGATAAACCAACATGAAATACATAGCGCACTACAAACTTAAGTTAAAACTTCTACTTATACAAGTTTAAGTTGTTTATTAAAGCAAAATCTACTTTTAAATTACTACCTCCATTGTTTGCACGGCCGGGAAAACTTTTATACATGACATCCAGGGCAAATGACAACTTGACAAGTAGAACCGTAATGCTTTATACGAAACATTTAGTGCCAATGACAACTTGACAAGACCAGACTTTTAGCACAATGTACCGTAGTAATGTTTTATACGAAACATTTAGTAGTAAACCAGATGGTGCATAACCTGTCTAGTATCACAAACCCTATACTTCTATTTAACTTGTAGACTTGTAAATATCTTTTTACTCTTACTTTATTTGATAAAATTAGCATTGGCTTGTGCCGGTTTGTTAAGAAAAATGCCATGCATATTAGATATCTTAAACGTGCTAGTTGTTTTTATAAACTTAGGGAAATGAACCACACAATTTATTAAAGCGTTGAACCATCCTAATCAAAAGATAAGCTAACTGAACAAAGGAAACATATTGGCCTAATGAAACCAAACTACAGTAGAGGAGCAAATCGATATTGAGCTGCGACATTGCCGCAACAACTACATTCTTGGACCTCTCTTGAGGTGCACACTGCTTGAAAAACCGATAATCCCCTTTCACTGATTCCACGTGAATAATATAGTTCAGAGGTATGTTGTTGAGCCGTAGATTTTGGTGTGGGCTTTCCTTAACTCAACAAATGATTTTCACGGAGCTCACTATTAAATTTGAGAAGCTCTGACATAATCGTGCCAAACAGGGTTATATGGATGACCTGTGTGCTCAACTAAACGGCGAACCCTACATAGTTAGGGCAGCTTGGAAATGAGAAGGATGATGATTCTAGTGTCCAACCAACCATTGCAACAGG